TGGATGATCCTTTGCCAAGATGGAGGTTGGAGCCAAAATGGTTTAAAAAACCGCGTCCATCTCTGTGGGCATGATTGCTACACCGGCAACTCACTGTTACCGGCTTCTTCTCCTCACATACAGATCCCGTGTGAGGATAAGAGATCCCAGGGAACCGTGAGTTACCGATTACAGCTCAGTGTCTGCACAACACCCACAGCAAAGAGCACCTGTCACATCGTCCGTCTGCCCATCAGCAGATCATTCCCAACTATGACAAACTATACAAAATTCGCCCACTTATTATTTTTTTTCTCCCAGAGATTTGCTGAACTTTATGTCTTTGATCCAAACATCTTTGTGGATGAGTCTCTTGTCCACTTTACTGGCCGACTGGGAATCAAGCAATACATCCCCATTGTAGTGCCCTCTAGTGCTAGATAGGTCTGTTGTTTTTAGACAGGGGCAGCCTGGGATGAGTCAGCTTGGGAGTGAGGTCACCTCAGGACAAGCTGAGAGGCTGTACAGGTCAGGGCTTCTGGAACCCCCCCTCCCTTAAAGAAACGTAGACAACTTTCTGGAAGAGGGGTAGAGGAGGGGAGAAGGCCCAGATATGCATGTTGAAGGGAACTTGGCCAATTCCCAGGCAGGAGGCCAGGAATGGTGACCAAGGACAACCCTTAAATCTGGCAGATCCTGAGCAGCAGAGGATTCAGGTGGAAGATGGACTGAGAGAAGGCTGGACTGTGGAGCCTGGGAGGGGCCCCAGGGAAGGGAGCCTACCTACAAGCAGGATACTGGAAAGAAGCATCTCCACTGTGCCAAGACTCTTAGGTAGGACATCCGGAGCAGCCGGGAAGGAGTCAGCCCAGCAAAAGGCCAGAAAGCAACTACAACCCACCAAGCTAATAGGACAGGGCAGGGTGAGTACTTCTACACCTCCTGGGCCAGATAACAGGAGAGGGCAGTCAGGTGGAAGATCCATCTAGTTCTCATCCACTATTTGGCCTATTTCTTGCTTCCGTTATGTTACTTCTGGAGCTGAGGATTTGATGATTGGGGCGTTTGGAGATATTGAGAGAAGCATTGTCCCTGTCAGGGAATTCCTGACTAATAAAAATGCACATGTACACAGCAATCTTCACAGAATGGCAACCAGGTGTAAGCATACGCACAACGTGTCTTGGCTCCAGACAAACTATTTAGGATGCTCCTACCCGTGCTCCAGATCCTCAGCTGTTCCAGGTGTCCTGCGTTATTCTTGTATGATTTCCCTTGTTGCTGACTCGGCTTGTTCCTGACCCGACTTTGGATTCTGCTCTTGACTTGTCGCTAAGTTCCTGACCCGAGTCTGTTCCTGACTTTGGCTCTACTCATGATTCGGTACCTTGCTGCCTGCCTGTTGATGAACCTGAGTATTCCTGTGACCACGCTCCTATCTTTGATCCCAGTTTCCTGTCCTGTCCGAGTGTCTGCCTGGCTGTCTGCTGTACAAACTCTGCACGCATTGAGTGTTTCTGCTTCAAGTCTGCTGGGAACTCTGACACACCATGCATCCTGAACCTGCAGTGCAACTGGAGTGCCCCTTTAACCTGGACTGGATTCCAGAGCATAGCTACCGTTCCTAAACTGATGGTCCGCCAGTCTCTTCGGGACCATATCTTCAACTGCAAGTTCTTCTGTCATCAGCTGCTGGCACTCTTGTTCCTTCTGTCCCTCTGTACTCTCTGTTCCACTTCCAGTGGGGCCTGGGCTGGAGATACAAGTGAGGCCGACCTCGTCATCTCAACCTCCTATCCGGTACATGACAGTCCTTGTGTTAACAAAGTGCAACTGACCTCCTATGGCACAGCAAGGTCCTACAAAGAAGGTGAGAAGACACCTATGAGGGGTGAAAGCAGGGGCGTATTTACCACAAGGCAAACGACATTTGTGTAGGGCAGCATTTTTCAGGAGGGCAGCTCCTCCCCCCAGAACAAGGAATGAAAGAAGGAACGCATGCTCCATGAGAACCAGGTGGGATCTGAGAGAGGCTGTGGTCTGCTTGATGGTGTATGCAGAGCCTGACTCATGTTCCCGGGATGTCTGGTGGTGTGAAGGTGAGTGAGCGTTTTATCTCTGTCGCTGGAGTGGTGGTAGTGGAAGGGTCTCTCAGTTTGGGGGCAGGGGTGTTCTTGGTCAATGTCCGGCTCTCTCCACGAGAGGGGGAAGAGGGGTCGTGTTGGTTGATGTCCGTTGGGGCAGACGAATTTGTGTTGCCTAGGATAGTACAAAACCTAAGTACACCACTGGATGAAGGGGAACTGTGGTGTATTTAAGGTGAAGAGCATTTTCTGGAAGGAGAATCGCTGACACATCTAGGATTTCACGATAATTTGATGGTGGATTGGACCATTTTTTCTATATTTTTATGGTTAAGTGTCACTATGCACAAGTAGATGTTTCTTCAGAGTTGTTCATGATTTATATTTATTCCTTTTTTCATTTTTGGTATATATCATTGATGAGAATTGAATGGAAGCGCCGCTCCATTTGGGAGATAAATGCATTTTGGGTGATAGCGCTTCCCTGATTATTTATTTTCTTTATCACCTTATTACGTATCCATTGATTATTTGTTTGCAGAATTATTTGGTTTATTCTGAGTGTTTCCCTTTGTTCAGCCTCCTGTACTTCCTGGCCAGTGAACCTAGCATTGTGACATGGGAGAGCCACATACCGGGAGGCTCAGCTTGCTTGGCTTCTAGGAACTGGAACTGCTGAAGGTGACCCTACACTAAGCTATATTCCCTGACCATTTACACCGGGGCGACTGGCACACGTCTTTGGTTTCTATTCAGTGTTGGTTGATTTTTGTGTTACATGGGGTGCAATGTTGGGTACATAATCAGTCCAAACATTGAAAAAGTCCCACACAGGTGGTATCTCCATACCAGGAGGAGGAGGAGCAGAATATGTTTTGGGATGTAATTCTAAGTATGCCCATGCTGTTTGTTAGAAATATCTTATAGATTAATAACTCAGGGTTCGGTTAGTCAGGAAATTAGATATGTAATTTATGACCCTAGAACATCTGAAGGTGCTCCTTGGATGTTGGTCCTCTGTGTGCAGGCTGTCAAAAGTCTCACACATGTGGTATCCCAATACTCAGGAGGAGGAGCAGAATGCATTTTGGGGAGTAATTCTTGGTATGTATAAAGTGTGTGTTTGAAATATCTTATAAATGGACAACTTTGTGTCAAATTATATGTTTTCATTTTCTTTCCACATTTTCCAAAAACTTGTGGAAAAAAGTGACAAGTTCAAAAGACTCATTATGCCTCGTAGGATATACCTTGGGGTGTTTACTTTCCAAAATGTGGTTAATTTGTGGGTGTTTCCACTGTCGAGGCGCTCCAGGGCCTTAGGGTTGACAAAAACGTGACAGGTAATCAGGAAATTAGAAGTGTGATTTATGCCCCTGTCAGGAATGGACTTGCCAATAATGGTGGGACTCACCTGCCTTGTGGGCTGCAGTACCAGGGCTGGCCAGCGGGTGCTCTCAGCAATCAGAGACTCAACCCTGCAGTCAGCCGAAAACACCTGAAGCTGATTGCAGGTGTATTTAAGTGATGGCCAGACCTGCAGTCTCTGCCTTGGTGTGTGTTTTTCTATGGGCCCCTGTATCTTGTTACCTGCAGTCCTGTTCCTGCCTGACTGACTCGTTGCTGACCCTGCCTGATCCGGACCTCTGCTGACTTCTCCTGTTTGATCCCTGGCTTGTGACCCGACCATTCTCTGCCTGACCCCCTGTACCTACCTGCCCGTTAGTTGCTGTACCCGGCTCGTGACCTGACTACTCTCTGCCTGCTCCTCCTGTTCCTACCTGCCTGATTGTTATTGACCCGGCCTGCCTGACGACGCTTGCATTGTATGTACTGTTATCTGTGGGTGGTTTGGTTTGGTTGCACTGTGTTATGTTTTAGTATTGCACTGCGTTTATGTATTGTTAGTCGTTAATAAATTATATTGTTTATAACATATCTGAAGCTGCGTTTCCCTGCGTCAGTCACACACCTCTGGTCATACCTGGGAGCCCTGACATTACACCAAGGCCAATCCTGACCAGAAGTGGCTGCACAGGGAAGCCATCTTGGCTTGTTGCTGGGAAGGATGGATCTGGATGAGGTTGTGTATTTATTTCTGCTGGTTTTTTGATGACAGAGAATATGCTTATCAGACTCTGAGGGAGTATCCCCGGGATGAACTGCTAGAATGTATACGGATCGCTCATGTTCTAGTAGATCAGGGCACAGAGTTCTCTGAGGTGCAGCCATTGATTCAGGTTTGTGTAGAGTTGGCTTCATCTGGTACCCCCCCGAATGCAGGGATGAATTTTTGCCGCCATTTAGTGCAGACCAGGTAGAGTCCCTGGTGTGGTTATTAGAGGATGATGTGGATTGCTTCTTGGAGCGTTATTCCACATGTTCACCACAGGTACTAAGAGATTGTATAAACGCAGTGCAGTCTTTGACAGACAGGCTTTGTGTAAGCTCAGCTTTGTTCAACCCATACTGCAGACATGGACAGACTTGTTGCACCCAGCCTCAGTCAGCTTACAACATCATTCCTCCACTCAAGGCACTCTTCCTGCATCCCCGACAGCACTCCCAGTGACGGCCCAGTATACTCTGCTAACTACCACATACCAGTCCTCTGCTCCCACTCGCTGCACCTATCCTTTCTTTAACCCTGTAAAGAAGTCCTCTGTAGCAACTGCTCCCTCCTCTGTTCCATCTTCCAGCTCTTCCCTGTCCTCAGCTGCTCCATTCGTTTGCAGACCTGCGTTTACTTACAGTGCTCCAGTAGTTAAAACCAGAAAAAAGCAAAATTCTTTCCAACCAATACCATCCTGCCAGTATCCAAACCGGTGAGCCTGCCGTCTGAGAACCCGCCTTCCGTGGTTCAGCCTGGTGCCTCGGCACCCGCACTTCAGCCTGATGCCTGTACCCAGCCTGATGTCTGTACCCAGCCTGATGAACTGATCCAGCCTGATGATCCTATCACGCCTGATGACCCAGTGCCCGCTGTCATACCTGTGACCCGATGCCCGCTGTCGAGCCAGACGATCCAATACCTGATGACCCGGTGCCCGCTGTCATACCTGGTGACCCGATGCCCGCTGTCGAGCCAGACGATCCAATGCCTGATGACCCAGTGCCCGCTGTCATGCCTGGTGACCCGATGCCCCCGCTGTCGAGCCAGACGATCCAATGCCTGATGACCCGGTGCCCGCTGTCGATCCAGACGATCCGGTACCTGATGACCCAGTGCCCGCTGTCATGCCTGGTGACCCGATGCCCACTGTCGAGCCAGACGATCCAGCGCCAGATGACCCGGTGCCCGCTGTCGATCCAGACGATCCGGTACCTGATGACCCAGTGCCCGCTTGTCATGCCTGGTGACCCGATGCCCGCTGTCGAGCCAGACGATCCAGCGCCAGATGACCCGGTGCCTGCTGTCGAGCCAGACGATCCGGTACCTGATGACCCAGTGCCCGCTGTCGTGCCAATTGACTCAGAGCCCACTGTCGTGCCTGGTGACTCGGTGCCCACTGCCTTGCCAGATGACACGGTGCCCGCTGTCGAGCCAAATGACCTGAAACCTGGTGACCCGATGCCCGCTGTCGAGCCAGACGATCCAAGGTCTGACCCAGTGCCCGCGGTCATGCCAGTTGACTCGGAGCCCACTGTCGTGCCTGGTGACTCGGTGCCCACTGCCTTGCCAGATGACGCGGTGCCCGCTGGCGGCCAAATGACCTGATGCCTGGTGACCCAGTGCCCGCTGTCATACCTGGTGACCCGATGCCCGCTGTCGAGCCAGACAATCCAATGCCTGATGACCCAGTGCCCGCTGTCATGCCTGGTGACCCGATGCCCGCTGTCGAGCCAGACGATCCAGCGCCAGATGACCCGGTGCCTGCTGTCGAGCCAGACGATCCGGTACCTGATGACCCAGTGCCCGCTGTCGTGCCAATTGACTCAGAGCCCACTGTCGTGCCTGGTGACTCGGTGCCCACTACCTTGCCAGATGACGCGGTGCCCGCTGTCGAGCCAAATGACCTGATGCCTGGTGATCCGATGCCTGCTGTCGAGCCAGACGATCCCATGTCTGACCCAGTGCCCGCGGTCATGCCAGTTGACTCGGAACCCACTGTCGTACCTGGTGACTCGGTGCCCACTGCCTTGCCAGATGACACGGTGCCCGCTGGCGAGCCAAATTACCTGATGCCTGGTGACCTGATGCCCGCTGTCGTGCCTGATGACCCGGTGCCCGCCGCTCCGCCTGGGGGCCCGATGCCTGCCGCCCCGCCTGGGGGCCCGGTGCCTGCCGCCCCGCCTGGGGGCCCGGTGCCTGCCGCCCCGCCTGGGGGCCCGGTGCCTGCCGCCCCGCCTGGGGGCCCTGTGCCTGCCGCTCCTCCTGGGGGCCCTGTGCCGCTGCCCGGAGTCCAGCCCGATGTGCCGCTGCCCGGAGTCCAGCCCGATGTGCCTCTGCCCGGAGTCCAGCCCGATGTGCCGCTGCCCGGAGTCCAGCCCAATGCCTGCCTGCCTGACTGACTGACTCGCTGCCGACCCTGCCTGATCTGGACCTCTGCTGACTTCTCCTGTTTGATCCCTGGCTTGTGACCCGACCATTCTCTGCCTGACCCCCTGTACCTACCTGCCCGTTAGTTGCTGTACCCGGCTCGTGACCTGACTACTCTCTGCCTGCTCCTCCTGTTCCTACCTGCCCGATTGTTATTGACCCGGCCTGCCTGACGATGCTTGCATTGTATGTATTGTTATCTGTGGGTGGTTTGGTTTGTTTGCACTGTGTTATGTTTTAGTATTGCACTGCGTTTATGTATTGTTAGTCTTTAATAAATTATATTGTTTATAACTTATCTGAAGCCTGCGTTTCCCTGCGTCAGTCACATACCTCTGGTCATACCCGGGAGCCCTGACAGCCCCTCAAACACCTGAAGGTGTTCCTTGCATGTTGTGCCCCTCCATTGGGCAATCTGTGGAAAAGTCTCACACATGTGGTATCCCCATACTCAGGCTGAATAGAAAATGTGTTTTGGGGTGTCATTGCAAATATGCCTATGCCATGTGTGAGAAAAAAACTTATTAATATGACAATTTTGTGTAAAAAAATAATTTCTTCACTTTCTAAAGAATTGTGGGAAAAATACCAACTTCAAAATACTCACCATGTCTCTTACCAAATACCCCAGACCATCTGGGCCATTTGAGGGGGAGGTTTTTAATGTTGTGACATTTGGGGGGTATTTGTACTGTCATGCATTTGGGGGGATTTGTACCTTCCTGACATTTGGGGTGGGGATTTATACTGTCCTGATATTTGGGGGTATTTGTACCATCCTGACATTTAGGGGGGGTTTGTACTGTCCTGACATTTAGGGGGGTTTGTGTTGTCCTGACATTTAGGGGGGTTTGTGTTGTCCTGACATTTAGGGGGGTTTGTACTGTCCTGACATTTAAGGGGTATTGTACAGTCCTGACATTTGGGGGGGGGGGGGGGTGATTTGTACCATTCTGAAATTTGGAGGGGATTTGTACTGTCCTGACATTTGGGGGTGATTTGTACCGTCCTGACATTTCGGGGTTTTGTACTGTCCTGACATTTGGGGGGTATTTCTACTGTTCTGACATTTTGGGAGGATTTGTCCGTCCTGACATTTGGGGGGTTTTGTACCATCCTGACATTTAGGGGGGTTTGTGCTGTCCTGACATTTAAGGGGTATTGTACAGTCCTGACATTTGGGGGGGGGGGGGGGGTGATTTGTACCATCCTGAAATTTGGAGGGGATTTGTACTGTCCTGACATTTGGGGGGTATTTCTACTGTCCTGACATTTGGGGGGATTTTTACTGTCCTGACATTTGGGGGGGATTTATATGGCATTTAGGGGGGATTTGTCCTGACATTTGGGGGGTATTTATACTGTCCTGACATTTGGGGGTATTTGTACTGTCATGGCATTTAGGGGGGATTTGTACCTTCCTGACATTTGGGGGGGATTTGTACCGTCCTGACATTTGGGGGATTTTGTACCTTCCTGACATTTGGGGGGGGGAATTTATACTGTCCTGACATTTGTACTCTCCTGACATTTGGGGGGGATTTGTACTGTCCTGACATTTAATGGGATTCCTGTACCGTCCTGGCATTTGGGGGGATTTGTACCGTCCTGACATTTGGGGGGATTTGTACCATCCTGACATTTGGGGGATTTGTACCGTCCTAACATTTGGGGGGGATTTGTACCATCCTGACATTTGGGGAATTTGTACCGTCCTGACATTTGGGGGGATTTGTACCGTCCTGACATTTGGGGGGATTTGTCCTGTCCTGACATTTGGGGGGATTTGTACCGTCCTGGCATTTAATGGGATGTATACCGTCCTGACATTTGGGGGATTTGTACCGTCCTGACATTTGGGGGATTTGTACCGTCCTGGCATTTGGGGGGATTTGTACCGTCCTGGCATTTGGGGGGATTTGTATAACTTTCACACAGAGTGAATCACATACACTGATTTGGGTTATTTTTACCTTAGAAATGTAACAGCATCAATTTCCACCTAAATATATGAAGAGAAAAGAACTTATTTGCTAAATTTCATAAATAGAAACTAAAAAAAGGTGTTTTTTTTTTTTTCAAAATTATTCTTTTTTTGCTTATATCACATAAAAATAAAATAAAATCCAGTGGTGATTAAATACCACCAAAAGAAAGCTGCATGGCTGAGTGATTGTCAGTCAAAGTGTGAGAGCGCTGAAAGCTGGTCTGGGCAGGAGGGGGGAGGTGAAAGTGACCTTCATTTCTTGTCGTATTCCTTGTAAATCTGGAATGCGGGGGGGGGGGGGGGGGGGGGGGGGTCTCTTCTACTTTGTATATTTTAAAGGCCTGTTTTTTCCCATTTTTTTTTACACTAAAATGTACCCAGATGGGGGGTGCTTGTCTCCCGATGGAATCCAATGACTATGGTACTTGTTTGTGTAATTCATCTCTACATTTCTCCCATTGCTCCCATTGAGTGTTAATTAGGGTTTTTTAATAGTTTTGGGGACCCCCTTTGTATTGTTTTGTATATTGTCTTATGTAAAGGAAGAGATGATCTCCATTGGATGGATGGATGGATGGATGGTGAGCTGCCCATACCGATGGCACAATCTATGGATCTTTCAGCCTTGTATACGGACGGACGCTGAGTCCTCATTGTGACTCATCAATCTAGTAATGATCGCTGTGGTGTCTTCTCTAACATGTGGATTCAGAGATGAGGTCCATGGATGGATGGATGGATGGATGGATGATGAGCTGTCCATACCGATGGCACAATCTATGGATCTTTCAGCCTTGTATACGGACGGAAGCTGACATCTCATTGTGACTCATCAATCTTCTAGTAATGATCGCTGTGGTGTCTTCTCTAACATGTGGATTCAGAGATGAGGTCGGATGGATGGATGGATGGATGGATGATGAGCTGTCCCATACCGATGGCACAATCTATGGATCTTTCAGCCTTGTATACGGACGGAAGCTGAATCCTCATTATGATTCATCATTGGAATCTTTTTATTGGAGTTCTTGTTTATAAATGAAGCTTTCATGACACGGCATGCCTATAAAAGTGTGACGGATTCCTCTCTGGACGGGTTATTGGATGGAAGTCACACGTGTGGAGATGCGACATCCATGGAGATACGATGAAATAAAGTTTACATTTTATATTTAGCCCAACGTGAAGTCATTGCTCAGCGTGTTTCATTCTGGCAGAAGCTGTTATCATCTTCTATGAAGGGAACTCTGCCATCCATGTACCCCCTGCCATCCATGTTCCCCTGCCATCCATGTACCCCCTGCCATCCATGTTCCCCCTGCCATCCATGTTCCCCCTGCCATCCATGTTCCCCGCACATGGTATGTTCAGGTTCTGGTTGGAGCCACAGCCGTACTTCACATGAATCCATTACAAATATGCGAGGGCAATTCAAAGTGGAGGGAAGTGTGGGGTGTTGTCCTACAGATCATACATCTTGTACACGTGTAGCACTTCCCCCTTAGGAGTCGCTGAGTTATTTTTGGGCTCCTTGATGTTCTGGACCCCTTTCTGAAAGCCCAACCCTGCTGACACCACGGTACACTCTAATCCAGAATAAGTCACCAGAAAGTAGACTCCCACCCGGATCGGAGGAAACCGGCATGAGGTTCATAGCAAACTTCAGTGTAGATTGGTTATAAATGAAATTGTCATGTGCAGAGTCAGATGTCACTTTTATCACCCTCAAAGGACGACATTTATCACAGAGTCTCAGTCAGTGTCAGC